GAGTTTCTTCCTGACGACACGGGGACTGATGTAGGGCCATTCAAATATGTCACACATGAGCTGACCTCTTAGGTTTCATATCTACCTTTCACGTTCAGCCTAAAACACGAGACTAAGCTTCCTGGTTAGAAATAGTGTAGTATATTATATCAGTAGTATATTATATCATGTCATTATCCGTGTCCAGTTATTTAGAAATAATATTCCTACATAATGTTTGTGTAATGAATTAAAGTTCTGTCTTGTTACACATGTGATTTTTTTTTTATTGTGCTACAAACTAAAAGGATTTGAAAAGAAAACGTTTCTCAGTCTTATCTATAAGATTAAGACAAACATTTAAAACCCTTGTTTGTCAAAATAGTTAGCCATATAAGCATCAGTGACTATCTTAGCTTGCGTGATCTCTACAGATAAGCTTTGAGTGTTAGATAAGGGGCTGGTTTTCATGCCATTAGGCTGCAAATTCAGTGTTGTTATACCATGAAAGTACATAAGGATTGAGCAATGCATCTAAAGGGGAAGTGGATGAGCTGCAGAGCTGCAGAGCTGCAGGTTCCCTCTCAGCTTCCTGCAGCAGTCAGAAAAGATGCAAATGAGACGTGTGCGACGAGTGTAACAGGAGGCGCGACTGTTTTACTACATCAGATAAACTCCTACGCTTCACAATGAAGAATAACCAACTGATTCAAAGCGGTTTGTATATGCCAGTGTATGGATCCCTGTTTATTTATGAGCAGCTAAAGTGTGTTTTTCTTCCTAGTTGAACATTTAACATTAAAAATCTTTGAACTCTTTCAGTGCACTTGGCTCAGCTCTGCCCACAGCTACAAACAGCCTCTGCTTTGATCATGAAAGTTAAGAGGACATTATGCCAGTTCAGTGTCACTTATTCTCTAAGGGTAGTCTCCAGTGGTGGAAAGCAACTCATTTCCTCCTTGAAATTTCTTTCTTTAAAGATGAGTTTTCTTTCCTGCAGCATTTGGTGCTTTCCAGGGTCTTCAGCCTTCATTAGAATACCTCTCTCCATCTGCATTTCCTCTTCCTCCCCTTCCAAGCATCATTGTAGGGCCTATTTTGGCCCACGATCAGGTCTCTTAGGTCTGCTGATAGCTTCCGGTTATTCTGGAAGGTTTTAAATAGGTTTTAGCGGTAAATATCTTTAATATGAAAATAAGCTTTAAATAAAATCCTGTGGTGAAAGAGGTGAAACATTTATGTGTTCAGTCTTGTGAACGAAGGGCAGATTTCTCACACTCAACTGGAGTCCACTATTCATGTCCACACACACACGCTGGTGTGACGTCAATGCTGATTGGTGGAGGAGTTTAGGCTGAAGGCAGCCTGTTGCCTGGATATGAGCAGCAGCCGTGCCGAAGTTCACTCTGAAAACGATCAAAACTCATTTAGAAATAATTACTTGTCACTTTACAATCGCTGTGTAAGAACAGCAAAACTGCAGCTGTGTGTGTTACAGTGCAGTGTTGCAGCCCTACAGCACTGGTCGTGCTGAAATGCACCGAAAGTGACACAAAGGTAAATATTGTGTTATTGTATTACCAACAAGCTGCTCTCTGACCTGTGATTGGCCTCCTTTGGAAGTAAAGGCGCTGTTGTTTCCTGCTTGTCATGCTGACACACACACACAAACACACACAATAACCCATCTTCCTCTCTAATGAGCTGATTGATGATCTGTTATTCTGCCCTTGTGTGCGTGTGTGTGTTATGCGTGGCTGATGACGTGTGAGGTTGAATGGGGGGCGGGATTTTGTCTGATGAGGACAAAGACAGCAGGGGGTCATTAAACACACACAGACACACACACCCATACATACACACCTATCCTTCGGAGCATGTGAACCTCTGTGGCCCCGCCCCGTTCCACAGGAAATAGTTGCAAACCACGACTCAGTCTCCACGGTGATGCTTTACGAGCTGACGGGACGACTGGGGTCAGGGGTCACAAGGAGACGGAGGGAAAGGCGAAGCTATCCTTTCTTTTGGGTGCGGTTATAATGGCGGCTCCCGAATATTCTAGGATTCAACTCAACATCTGGAACTTAATCTGGGACTCCAGGATTATCTTCATATTCCCCTGGAAGATTTTAAGTATCTCACTTAAAAGACCCAAGCCATTCCAGGAATCCCGGAAGCCCCTGAAAGACTGATTGAGTCATTCATTCTATCTGGAAGAATCCTGGAAGTGAAATCAAATTTTCCCTTAAGGACCCTGAGGACCATGCAGGATCTATTTGATTCTCTCCATGTTCGATTCTCTATTTTCAACTGCTGGAGAATCTCGATGTACCTTAAAATGTTCCACAAGTTGCTGACTTGTGGAACATATTTTAGTCTGCATGAACATCTTTACTGACTTTTAGTTCTCAAGAAAGTCTAGAACTCCTTCTTTAAGGACAATCACATCCTTTGGCTTTCTCTCAAGAACATCTACAACACCTTCAGTAACTTACTAAACTTTTCCTGGAAACCTTGATCCAATAAACCATTTAACTCAATGAATTTTGTCAAGTATATGTGGAACTAGCCTACAAAGAATACCTAAACCTCCTGCAGGATCATTTCTCTTCTGAAAGCTCTTCAGAATCTCCTAGAAGTTCTTCAGAGTAAAGAAGGAAATTTCTCAGTACAACTCTTTGAGCTTAAATTGTTAGAAATAAATGTGTTTGGAAAAATAAAGTTCTGGTATCTCATTGTCCAGACTGACCTTTAATTATAAAATTATAGTTATAAAAACTATTTGTTAATTCACAAAATAAATTATGTTTGACTCCCCTGAACTAGAAAGTTTTCTGTTTTGTTTTTTACCTTCAGAATCTTCAAGAGCCCTGAAACATTTCAAAGACTGTACTTCTTTACTATACTTTTAGTACTTTAGTGACTAAATCAGACAAACTATTTCCAACTTACCCTACTGCAATCGCGTCTTTAACAACATCTGTTTCCAGAAACTCTGAAAGTGCTCCTGGAACTTCCTCAATGACAACAATAGACACTTGAAACTACAGTAGAAGGAGGCCCATTCTGTCTCCTGTCATGACTTTTACAACATGTTCAAATACCACTTGCACCTATTTGTGACTCCTGGAAACTTTTCAAGAACCCAGAACCATTTCCAGGACTGTATGAGCCTGTTCCTTTCCATTTAGTGTTTTCTTAATTACTCATGGAAGAATTCGCCTTCTTCAAGAACATCTAGATGTTTGAGAGTAGTTTTGAGGGTTTGTCTCACCTGGAAAGCTTTCAAAGCCAAGACATTTTTAGCTCTGTTATAGGTCACTAGATGACAACCCTTTCAGTCATTGAATGTTGTAAAGACACCTCAAACTGACCTAGGAAAGACCCTGGAGCTACAATGAGGACAATCTGAGACCCTCATGAAACTTGTGAACACTCCTATGGTCTTTGAAACACCACAAGGACTTCAAGATGCTTTTAAAACACCAAAGGAAACTATTTCAAACCAAAGAAGCCTCTTCAAGGATTCCTTGAACTTCCTCCAGAACTTGATGATTAAACTTTGTCGATTGAATATTTTTATCTATTTTGTTTTTTTTGAGTGTTTTTTGTAACACATGCATCCATTGAGTCCAGATTCATCTGTGTGTGCGTCGTTGTGAGTGTGTGAACCCGTTGTCTGGGGTGACAGCAGTAAGAATGTGTGACATCATAGCGCCGAGTCGTATAAAAGTGTCAGCCCGCCGCCGGCACACAGATACTGACTGGTCCTGAGATGAGACAGGACAGACACCAGTGATAGTTAAAAAAAGAAAAAAAAAGAAAAACCAAAAGCTTTTACGACTTGTTCTGAGACTGATAATCAATTACTGCGATTGGAGAAAAACAGTTGGATTGATCGGACGACCAGCAGAATCTTTTATTTGACTTTGATTTTTGTTGGAATATTTTTGAGAAACTGTTTGTCAGTAAGTTCTGCTTCTTTATTATCCTAATCATCAAATTTACTAATACATAAACATCAGAAAATGACATTTAAACTTCAAAAATATTTCATCAAATTAAAGAAAATCTAAATTGAAATTTACTAAATAATCCAGTTTAATAACTCCCATAACCCAATGAAGATTTATTCATATCTAATAATAAAATAACAAAAATCAAAATTTATTTTAAGTCTAAATTTTCTAACTAGCCTTCTTTTACTTAAAATGTTTTTTAACTCTATTGTATTGAATTGAATTCAATAATAAAAATCTAAACACCTTCAGTTTGGTAGACTATAATCTACATCTGTAATCTGAGACTGTAATAATCAATTTAAAAAAACTATTCATGACCACATTGTAAAAAAACAGAATTGTACAAACGTGAATAAAGCTACAAATTTGTTAAGATGCACAAATAAATTCAAATTTGTGTTAAAAATATATTTTTGTTTCTTTTTTAATACCACAACAAAATTTGACCCAATCAGTTTTTATCTCCTGATCAGGTTATTTCACCACAATATTCACTTTTATCAAGTCACAGCAATCCTCTGACCGATAGATGGCGCTGTAGGCTTTAATAACCTTCAGTCAGAGCTACACGTAACTCAGCTATTTCATGTTCTTCTTAAAGCTTATAGGTTAAAAACAGTCATGGTGGTGTGTTTTTTTAACTAAATGTTTTTTGTACAAACAAAGATGGCTGCTGCTTCATCTCCTTTCATTTCCCTCATCTTCCTCCTCTTCCTCGCTATTGCTGCGGAGTTAAAACCGTCACCTCAACGAGACAACAAACAGGTCAGTGGAGAACTTCCTTTTCATCATTACCTTCATTCTCTTTTTACACCCTTTATTTTAATCATTATCTTTGTCCTCATTATCTTCATTCATCGTCTTCATCGATAGTTTCTGCTCTTTTTATTGATTATTTCAGCTTTAATAAAGAGATACAATGAAACAGATCTCATAGTCAGAGATGATCTTAGATTAACAGCATGGTGTCATCAGCATAAGTGAGTCTGTGTAAGATTTTTCAGTGCTCCACCGATCAGTGACACATAATAGGAAGATTAATGTGACACTTAAAAAATGTCATCTGTTTGATGTTTTAAAGACTTGTTTTAAAGACTCAAATATGGGGCAAAGGTTAATGGACCCATCGTTACAAGAGTACTAACCAATATATAATATGGCTTACTCTAAGTTCTGTTATGTGGGACCAGTGTGTAATCTGAGTAATCTGATTACTTGACTACTCTGTGTACTTGAGGTACAGTTATCAACATTCACTAGAAAAGGCAGTGAATCACACAGATGATTACTGACTGTATTTCAGGTTTTACACTCTCTGTTTGGCTCTCGTCTTTCAACTCTCATCTTGGCCACTCCCACTTTTGATGACATCACAGAGGGATCAGCTGGACAGCTCACCTCCACAACTCCTTCTGCAGTACTGCCTGTGAGCCACACCCTTGCAAAGCGAGTGAACAGCAGAACTGAAGCAGTCCCTCAGTTCTTTCTCAACTTCCTGCGGCAACAGACCAAGATGAGGAGGTGGAGCCGCAAGTCGATGATGGGAGGGAGAGGATGCTTTGGGATGAAGATGGACCGTATTGGGTCCATGAGTGGTCTGGGCTGTTAGACATATGTGTCACCATGGTAACTACACTACGACCTAAGCTCCGCCTGACGTTGCATGACCTCTGACCTCCAGAAGGATGAATTTTTCCACTGGGCAAAGACTTCATGTTGGATCTTTACTAATAAAGGACTAAAGGAAACGTACTAATGACCTCTGACCTCTGACGCCTGGCTCCAGTGCAGCCAGCAGGACTCTGTGTGTGTGAGAGACGAACATGTTTTAAACATGTAGATATATTTGTGTGTGTAAGAACATTAGGCATTTAGCTCACAGCAGGAAATGATCCGCTTCACACGCCTTTTCACTACAGGAAGTACTCTGTGTTGCTCCAGTGAGGGGCGGAGTCTGGATAATGTGTGCAGGACATGGCAGGTTAAAGACAGATGAATGTCCAATCTGATAGTGTTGCACATTTTTGCGCTTTTACATGTGTCTCTGTCGGGTGATGTACTGGAAAGCTGATCACAGTGGGGCATGTGTGAAAGCAGCTTAATAGACGACCATGTGTTAAACATGCAGGTATGTGTGTGTTTGTGTGGACCGACTGCAGCCAACAATAAACTACAGAGAAAACCTCACTGGGCTTATGTTGCTTTGATTCAACAGGTAAATAACATCACACAGATATTTATTACAACATTAATATTAATGAAAGCTTCAGTTTTTACTGTGTGAACTTCCTGTTTATGGTGACACTGAACGGACATTATGGTGCTTCCAACAAGGAAGAAGAATCCTAAATAGGAATGCATATTATGGCTCTGTAACAGCAGGAATGTATTTATCTGTTGTTTAACCAGGAAAACATTTTGAGGTTAAAGACTTGAGAAATACCAAGGGCTCAGGGAAGAGCTTGAGAAGAACAACATCGGAGATCTCTGTCCAGAAGAGCACGGTCCTAGGAACAGCTAAGATACTGCGCAGGACCGCTCTACCTTTCTGAGAACCAAAAGAAAACCTACTTTTTAAGAACTCGCTAACTCAAGAGTGACATCGCTCCCAAGTTTTGACATATGAGTTTCAAAATATCTCTTCAAGCATGTTATGAAGATGCATTAATGTTATGAGATGACCAAAATAATAGTCAGTGCTAGGTTTTTAAAATAAAAGCCCAATTTCAACTGTTTTCACCTTACTGTAATTACTTACTCCACTGAGATGATGTCAGGCTGTTATGAAGTAAACAGTAATGTGTAAGGTGACTGTTTAGCAAGTCTGAAGCCTGAGCTTTTGGCTCACTGGGATCATTTTTACAGGTTTATCCCATTGTATGAAATTTAGCAAAGTGAGTTATTTATAGATGCAGTTTAACGGAAAAGACAGAATCACAGCACATGAGCAAGAAAACGGGAGAGACTTTTATTAGCCTTGCCACAAGGGTTACTTCTTATTGCCTGTGATCTGGTTTTGAAAACTTATAGCAGACTATAAGATGCTTTGTGATGTTTAAGGTAATGAAAGTTATTCTTTTATCCTGTGTTCATTTCATCTGTTTCTTTAGGAAATGGTTTATTACCTTGTCTCCACGTGAGACTCCTTTAGTTTGTGTTATTAGTGCGCCCTCATGTGGCAGATGCCAGTGAGTGCAGTTACCTAAGTTTGCGCACAGCATGCTTCACTAAAACCAAGCTAGAACAAGGAAGAAGTGTTTTTACAAACACGTGTCTGAGTATTCGTCAAATTAATTTATCATAAACATGTTTGTGATAAATAAACAGGTCAGCTGTTTGTTTTACTTTGTTTGTTGTCACTGTTGTTGGAGTGTTATTTTGAAACAGACAGTGAAGACATCACTTGACTTCCTTTTACATATTTCCCAAAGCTTTCTTATGATAAGTCCACTGCCACTTTTCATTTATCAGTTTTTCTCTTTTATCTCATAATTTGAAGCTTCTAGTTGAAGTCAGTGATATGACCAGCTCTATTAAAAGTTGATCATGAAGTTCTTTTGGATAGATATTAATATCTTGTGCAAATACCAAGTTTTCTTAATTTTCTTAATTCTTTGGTCAGGATTTTCTGAACAGAGTGCCATTTACATCAGTGGATGGTTCATGGTGTTGGTGGTGGAACACATCATAAAATGTGTGACGCCTTAATAATTTTACTGGTTAAAGGTTAAAATACAAAAATGATCATATCATTACATTGTTAGAGAAAATGGCATTCATTCACACTGAAAAAGACTAGAAATAATAAAAGATAATCTTCTTCTTCTTCTTCTTCTTCTTCTTCTTCTTATTATTATTATTATTATTATTATTATTATTAAGGTGGTCTAAGTTGAAACTTGAGAGGAAGAAATACATTTTAAGACATGTTACCTAAAACTTGAATTTAATCACCACTCGTTTCAAAGTGATTTCCTTCTTCTTCTTCTTCTTCTTCTTCTTTTGGGTCCTCCTTTTTGGAGTTGCCACAGTGCATCTTATCTGCTCGGCAGTTCCATTTTCAACATCCTATGCACATGTCCACACCATCTCGACCTTGCTTCTATAACTTTGTCTCCAAACTGCTCTTCCTAATTTCTTATCCTCTCCATCTCGATCACTCCCAATGACGTTCTTAACACATTCAGCTCGGCCTTCTGTCTGTTCATCAGTGCCACTGTCTTCAAACCAAACATCACAGCACGTCTCACTAACATCTTATAAACCTTCTGTTTCACTCTTGCTGCTTCTGTAACAAATCACCCTTGACACTCGTTTCCATCCTCCCCACCCTGCCTGCACTTTCTTCTTCACCTCTCTTTTACACTGTCAGTTGCATGGTTGACCCCAGGAACCTCATCTACGTCACTCCTTTTACTCCTCGCACGTTCATTTTATCCACTTGCCTCATCCTCACACATGTTATCTGTCTTATTTCCTCTTCTCTCTCCTCCTCCTGCTCCCTTCTCTCCCAACAGATCAAAACATCATCTGCAAACATTCATAAGACTTCGTCATGTTGAACCAGTTTCAGTAATTGTTTAATAATATTACATTTATTTTGAATATTTCTACGTTTTTTAAGAATATATAATTATTTTTGTATTTCTGGTGAAATTTCTGACATGCACAGGTTGTTCCCGCCTCTCGGGGGCAGCATGCAGACATTTGGCTGTTCCCTGTCACGTGACGAGGTCAGTAGTTCCGGGGTCAGGGCTCGCTCAGCTAACATCAAGCAAACCGTTGACGGTAACACGGAAACAGAACGAGCTGACTGTCCTCTCCTCCGGGACGTTCTCCTCCGCTAACAGCGAGCCTCCTGCCTCTGGATCCCGGCTGTTCCCGCCTCTTCCTCCGTCCTCCTGGTCCGCACCGGTCAATAAGCCTGAAGCATGTCGGCAGTGCAGCGGATGAAAGTGGCAAACGAGCGACACAGCAAGACGATCACACAGCGGGGACACGTCCAGAAAACGTCGGTAGGGAAACCAGGGCTAACGGCTGACCCGTTAACTTAGAGCCCGTGGGCTGTGGCCGGCGTGTGGTCTGTAGATGTGATGTTCGTGTAGAAGTGAGCATTTAACTACGTTTATTTGATTTATTTAGAGTCGAATCCAGGAAACAGCTAGCTCGCTAAGTTAGCCACGGAGCTCTGTTACCATCACAGTCGCCATCATGCTGCATGTAATTGTTGTTAAAAACCAGTGAAATGGTGGGATAGTAACAGAGGTCCCGCTGCTGGCGCACTGTGAGTGGCTGTTTAGTGTGTCATCTTAAAGAGAGCCAGAGTCCTTCAGGAAAGCTGGAGTTTTAGCGCGCCGCTCGATTGTAATTTATAGAAATACGATTTTATTCTAATATATTAAAGGTTTATTTTGTGGTGTTCAATCGGCACGCACACATAAAGCTGTCGGCTGTTTGTGAGCTTTTTGGGGGCTTTAATCGTCCATCCCCTCTGTGTAATGAGGTGTAAACAGATGGAGTGGGCGGAGGCGTGCAGCTCAGTGCGCACATTTAAAACAGAATTTGAGGCAAAGAAGGTGATGTTAGGGAATCACACGCAGGCCGAATTTAACAAAGGGCTTCGGACCGTTTAAATGAAGATCAGCTGCTCGATTCTGTCCGTGCAGACAGAGAGCAGCGTTAAATGAGCTGTTTTCTGAATGGAGTCTGGTGCAGAGTGGCTGGTTTGGCAGGTGTAACAAGAGAGTGAGCGCACACAAAGCTGTGTGTGTGTGTGTGTGAGCAGTTATGAGTGTGACACACACAGAGTCAGCCTAACTTTTTATACTGTGAGGCGATTCTCAAGGAACTCGAAGCCACAGATGTGATTTAGTAAACATCTGTAAACACCCAGCTTTGTACTTTTGAAGCTTAAATTCAGAGACATTTAGCTAGCGTGCCATCAGCAGGCACGCTAGCTCAGGATATTTACAGTGTGTGGTGGGCGACTGTGACAAACCACAGTTTGCCTTGATTCAGTTGGTGGTGTCACACCGTACAACAGAACTACTTGTGTTTTCTGTTTGATGAACAAAGAAGTATTTGATGTTTGAATACCTGTAAAACCCCTCTTAAAATATGGTTTAAATATACATTTATTACAGTTCTAGTGATATTTGCACTGCTTTGGCACAACAAATATTTCATTGAAGCAGCACCACGTGAATCAACCAATGCTGAGGCTATACTGGCATCTTTACATGGTCCCTGCTGCTCAGTCCCATCGAGCTAACTTTAGCTTATGTTACAGCAGCCAAAATGTATGTAAACAGTGTGCGTTACTAGGCAACTACGTGTGCCATTAATGTCCAGCGCTGCGTTCATTATTATATTAACGTGACGTCTTCAGCGGTTTGAGGTATAAGTGGCCTTCCTGTTATACCACATATTGCAAATGGTAACATGACGGGTTTTATTTTAACAGGGTTACATAATTTAAACATTTTTAAAGTTCTAGTGTTTAAAATAACTCAAAGGTCAGAGCTTGGAGCTCTGAGGCATGAATGGATCTCATCAGTCAGGGTTTGGCCCTGTAATGATGACCTCCAGACGTTAAGGTGAACACAGTAAACACTGACTGTCCACGGAAATCTTTTCATTTGCTAGCAGAAGTCTTTGAAACGGGACGATTACAGCAGGGATGTTAGCTGAAATATTCAGCGGCTGTCGCACGTCCTGTTTGCCTGTCCTGTCTACAGTTCGGTTTCTCAGGTTGTCTTTGGTTTGTTGGAGACTTTTGGTTTTCTCTTAGCGTTGACCTGCCAACACTCCCTCCTCACCTGTCACAAAATGTCATTTTTTTCAGCTCGTCTGTCCTTGCAGTAGACAAACCAGTTAGAACGGTCTCACCTCGTGTTTCTCTACTTTACTCATCCTGCTGCATAAACGAGGCTTCATGAAGCACAAGCTTAAATCTCAGGATTAAGCAACTGAAATGTGTGAAACAAAGTCGCATATAATGTAAACAGTGTAAAGGTATCATAAGAGAAGTGTTGTGAAAACACCAAAGACGCCTGTTTTCACCACGAGGTGTTATCATTACCATCAGAATAAAAAGAACCAAGTTCTATGTGGAAGTAAAACTCAAAAGGCTTCCACGGGACGCTTTTGACGGTGCGTGGTTTCTCTGTGTTTTCCAGCGGCCAGTAAACGATGAGAAGTCTCCGGTGGGCCCGTGGCTGCTCGCTCTGTTCGTCTTTGTGGTTTGTGGATCAGGTGAGTTTATCCCCTGCAGGTGATACAGATGTTGATACAGCTGCTGATGCAGACGGGCTCTGCTTCCCGCTCAGCTGATCCTATCTCTGTGGTGTTTCTGCAGAACTCTATCAGCTCTCGAAACTCTGAGTCACATTTTTTTCTTCAGTTTTGTCTTCAGCCTGCAGGATACGGAGTCAGAAGGTCTTCCTGTGACAGATTGCACTTTTATCGCTGCCAGTCAGGACTTGCCATCTCTAATTAGCGTTTGGTAACACATGTCAAAAAACAGTCGCTTTAAATAGATGGGAGTTAGCTCTCCTGCTTTTCTCAGCCTGTTTTTTAATTGTAGGTCACAATAGAATCTCTGTTTGTGCCGTGGCTTTGAGGCATAGAGCCGTTGAGCACAGTACGTATCACTCCGCGAGGCTCCTCGGTAGCTGTAATGCTCTGACAATCCA